AGACTGTGTAAACGCATGTCTTTACGAGTTGCGCAAGAAAACCCTCTGCGGAATTGACTTCTACATCATGTCTTAGAGCAGAAAGCGAAGATCGGCGCCTGACTACGGGAGAAGGCGGAGTCGGACAGCACAAAGGGCGAAGAAGGCAGGCGCTCTACCTGCGTCAATTGGACGGTCGCTTGCTCGTAGCGCTCGCATGCGCCCACTAGCTCCCGACGATCGGCGGCCTCCGGTTCTCCAGAAAGCTCCTGCCTCGGCCGTGGGGGCCGTGGAAGTCCGTTGAAGATGGGTTTATGTCTAAAAGCAAAGCGGCACAGTGGCACAGCGAGTGAAACGGCCTCTGCATCGGCGCCGGTCTCCAGACGACGAAGGCCTCAGAGACTCTTCCGCGGTCAAAGGCTTTCATACATGCCCTCGGTGAAATGAGATTTCGACATGTTCCGCAAATCTGCTGCACCCCGAGTCCGCGACTGAACGAAGTAGAACCTGCACGTTCTCAATTTAAGAAGTAACGAAATGCGTCAAGCACGTTCGTCTCACCTTACCTTCCATGCGATTCCACTTCAGAAAGTCGCATGACGCTCGCCGCCTTTGCGAACCAGCACTGCGCCAAGCAACGCTGCGTGCGCCGATGAATGATCTGCCACGAGTTCAAGAGACTGGGCTAGCATCAGAAATTCGGTGCCAGAAGCATTCGTCACGCGGCGTTGCGGCCTCTAGAAGCGCCGCCCTTGCCACCTTGCCTCGCCGGAAGAGGACGGGCTGCTGCAACCTGTGCTGCGATGCAAAACCCCAGCGAATGCCGGCGAGTGAGCGCCTGCTCAGCCATGCCAAGCCATGCCAAGCCATGCCATGCCAAGCCACCGAACGAAGGCGCGATGCAGGGGAGCCTGTGCTGCCCGGACCTGACAAGTTCGACACCCGACATGCATTCCCAAAACGGTACGACGGACTGACCCTTATTTTGAATGGTAGGAAGCGCATACTGCCCGGGTCCGTCGCATTCGCCGGGCTGTACGGCGCCGGGGACGCTTTCCGCATCCCGGCCCGTCGCCCGCCAGTGAGCGACGACCCACAAATCTCAAAAAAAATCAAACGGGAGGAGAGGGTGGGCTCTGAAAAGCGTCGGGCGACGCCTGCAGCATCCTGCAGCAGCTGCGGCATATGCGTCGTTCGACGGACTTGTCCCTGCACACATTACATGTGTTACACGACACAAGTTCGACACCCGACGTGCATTGCAAAACGGTACGACGGACTGACCCTTGTTTTGAGTGGTAGGAAACGCATCGCGCCGGGTCCCCCGCCTTCGCCGGAGCAGGACTGCACAGCGCCAGGGACGTTTTCCGCATCCCGGCCCGTCGCCCGCCAGCGAGCGACGACCCACAAGTTTCAAAAAAAAACAAATTGTCGGGCGACACAAAGCCTGCAGCAGCTGCGGCGTATGCGTCGTTCGACGGACTTGATCTTGCACACATTGCATCACATTGCATGTGTTACACGACAAGTCCGGCACCCGACGTGCATTCCCAACACGGTACGACGGACTGACCCTTCTTTTGAAGGGTAGGAAGCACATCGCGCCGGGTCCGTCGCATTCGCCGGAGCAGGGCTGTACGGCGCCGGGGACGCTTTCAGCATCTCACCTGGCGCTCCCCACTCCCACTCTGCGCTGGCAGCCCTCACACCGCCAAGTTAACCAGCTCATCCGCCGTGGTGTTCTCGGCGAAGTCGAAGTCCGTGACCGCCGCCAGCGTCCGCAGGATGCTCTGCACCGGCGTCGTCTCCAAGTTTTCCCGGGAGACTGCGTCGGAGACATTGGCTTTGGACGGCATTCGCGGAAAGTCAGGGAGCCAGTCCGCCAGCGCCGCAGTGGACCAAAAGGCCGCCAGGACGCCGTTGACTGCTGCATGGGTCCTTTCCATAGCCCTTCGTGGGGTCAACGACGTTGTCGCCAGCCACCTCTGTCGTCGACGAAGCTCGCCTTGGTATACCCCGGCAGTATCATGTGGAGGCGCTCCTTGACGTTTGCCGGGATGCCTGCAGCCGGCCCGCCTGGATGGCAGGAGTGTAGTGCCAGGAGGCGAAAGCGCCGGCCGTCGGCCGTCCATCTAGATTTGGCCGGCTGGGAGTTTCTGTCTGACTCTCTTCAGCGCCGGCCCTGGTTCTCAGGCAGCACCGCCTCGAGCGATGGCGCCACACGTCCCGGCGTACCAATCCTTCCTGCATTCGGTGTACGCCTGTGCCGGGCCGCCGCCCCCCACCGTGGCGAGCTCCGACCTCTGAAAGTCGCCGGTACTAGGGCGCCCGGAGTCTGGGCGGCGGTCGACGACCGGTCCTTGCTTGGGCGCGACTCCATGCCGCCAGCTTTTCAATGACATCGGCTGGCACGCCGGCCTGAACCAACGCCAACCAACGCCTTGGCGAGTGCCGATTCTCGACATCATGTGCCCCGACCGTCGACATGGTGGGCAGGTGCCCCTTTGCACCGATCTCGACGAAGGCCATAGCCAGCCGACAGAAGCCGACGCGGCCATGCAGGTTGACCGAAGGCATCGTCTGCCGGGGTGTCGGGAAACCGGTCTCCTCGAGCCACTTGCACCTGTTTCTAGAAAAATAACAGGACAAATAACAAAGGAGGGGGAGGCGACGACGACACCAAATGCAATCACCCACCCACGCCGGTCTTTTCAACATCCATGCGTGACGCGCCGGCACATGCGGCCCGACGTGTCTCGACGAATAGGGCAGGAGAGGCTCGCGAGAGCGTCCGCCGAAAGAAAATACACCAAAGCAAAATGCCAAGCTGCTGCGACGAGGGCGCCCGCGCTCTCCGCGGGGAGGCCACGAGCCGCCGCCTCCTCCAGCTCGCACATTGGCCACCGATCTGACTGCGGTCCATGGCGTGGATGTGCCGACACTAGGCGTCGTTGCACAGGCATTGCCGATCCTCGACGATCTCCCACAACCGGTGAGCTTCGTTGATCTCCGCCTGCGAAGTGACTCGACGAGGCTTGGGCGGCAAGGGTGGAAACCCAGTGCCGGGCCCAGTGCCGGTGTGGGGACGGCATCCGGGTACTGCACCGGACGCCGGCTGCGACGACTGCCCGCGATCCACCGACGCCGACTTAGCTCGAGCAGCCACGTCCGCCTGCCGTTCGCCGGCATGCAGTGCTGGAGCTCTTTAATGCGAAGCTCCCCCGCCGCTCGCCTGTCGTCTGTCGGCCCCGGGGCGTCTGAAGGCGCACGGGCGGTGGTGGGCGAAGCCGCCTTCTGGGCCGTCGGCGGAATCTGGCCACGACCATGGGCGACGTGGAAGTCCGTCGCATGGGCGAACCCACGGTCTGCCGCTTCCTGGGCGTCGGCGGCCCTGCGCCTGATGCCCTGTCGATGTCAACGCTTCGCAATTGCGCGACCGTCGCCGTGTTGGAAGCGGGGCGTCGACGTCGCGATCCATTTTTGGACATTGGACGCGACTCCAACGGCGGGCCCTCATCATGGCAGTCGACAGGGCGCCGGCAGGAGAGTGCGACACTGGATCTGAAAAACGTCGGGCGACGCAAAGCCTGCAGCAGCTGCGGCGTATGTGTTGTCCGACGGACCTGTCCCTGCACAATCCTGCACACATTACATGTGTTAAAAGACAACGCCGAGTGCAGCCCATCGCTCGTGAACAAGACGGCAACCAAGGCCGACGCCAAGGACGCAATGGCTCGCCTGCGGCAGCCACCTCGCCGCTGCCAGCATCGCAATGCCAAACACAGCCTCTTGACGCAGTTGTACAGGAGCTCGGTGTCCAGCTCTCAAGAAGAGGCATATTATGACAGGTTGTGTCTGTCTCATTGCCTTTGGCGTCGCTCATTGTGCCGCTTTGGCCGCTTCCGCAGTGCCTCCAAACAAGAAGGGTCTTGGGACAGAGTGGTGCATGGAGACAAGTGAAGAGCGGGTTGGCCTCCTTCTGCCAACTGAGGAAACTTGAGGCAACGATACGCAGCAAGCGGAAACGCCTGTCGGGTTTGCCAAGTTTGCCTCTTCGCGCCGCTGGCGGACACCCCGCGACAAAAGACAAACCGCTACGACGCTAAGGCCCTACTGGCCTGACCAGCTGCACGAGCTCGAGCCTCGCAGAGACAGCCGTTACCCTGCCACTATGCCGTTACACTTCTTCCTGCTGCAAGCCTTCGCCCCTTCGCAGCTCCTTTCTTGCATCTCGTACTCTCAGATGCGGGCTCGAGTCGCGGTGCCACCGCCGGTGCCGTTGTTCTGCCTGCCTCGGGCCTTGCCGTGGCCTCCGGCGCCTGAAGCATAGCACGTTGGTGCTTCAGGCTCTTAGCTGTTTCGCTTTCTGACAAGCTGCAGAGCACCAAGCGCCGACGCTGGAGGCCTTGGCATGTGCCGCATAGTGCCGCGCGCATGCTGATCCGCAGTGCCAAGTAGCAAAGGACGACGGGGGTGGCCATGGGAGCTCCGAGCCTGACACGGCACACTGCAGGAGAACTAGAGACCTTAGCGCTGAGATGCGTGTTTCGCAGCCTGAGAGGCTGAGAGAGGCGGTCCAGTCTCGCGATGTGCAATCCATTCGCACATTGCGACCTTTTCGACCTGAGGGAACGAGGCAAAGCTCATGATGAACGACGGCATCTTGGCGATGTTTCGACCACGGACTACTACGGAGCAACAACAGCCGTTTGACATGTTGCCTCTGGCCCTCCTTGAAACACAAACCTGCCTCAGTCATTCTTAGCCCGCACATCTGCCTGGCCTCATAGGGCCATCAGAGCTTCCCGCAGCCGCTACCAGTACCATTTGGCAGCTTCAAAGCTACTGGACTTCATGTGCTGTCGGACGGATATCTTGAAGCCAGTTGTTTCTATCCTGGAATCTGTCAGTGGGCCAATGGCTCCTGCGCACACCCGAAAGAGGCTGAGTCTGAGGTACGAGGTTCGAGGTGGGGTGCCTGTGCGCAATGCTGTTACACAGCAGTTCCACGGAAGGCTCACTCAGGCTGGCTGAATGCGTGGTTGACCTCGTCCAGGAGCTTGCACACCTGCCCGAGCGTCCAATTTGAATTTGAGCCGCTGCTAACCGGAAACCAGACCGCAGTCTCCCGGCACGCCCAGTGGTCGAAGATCAGAGGATAAAAATTCGCGCGACTATCTTGAGGACAGTTACGCGGTGCTGTAAGGTTCATAGCCTTTGAAGTGAGTTTGCACCTGCATGCCGACCACAAGCCTGGCTTTGATCACCCTTTGGCACGCTTTTTGTTGGGTAGATGGCGATTCCAGCTCTTGTGGCAGAAACGGAAGTTCACAGGAACATAATGGGACATACTTCGCGCAACAAAGCCGATCCAAATCTGATCGGATGCTGCTGCAGCAAATCTTGTTTCTCCTCCTTCTGGGCCAATTCAAGCCCACAAGAGGCAAATCCACTACATCAATGTCTGCTGGAGCGGGCGAGGACCATTGCCACCACTGCGGTAGCAATCGCTCCCGCCGCTGCTGCGCCCAAAGCTGCCCCTGTGGCGAAGTCAGAGAGCCTGAAACGCCGCGACGACGCACCAGCAACAAGACCGGGACTGAGGAATAAGGCTCCAATTAAGGGCAGCACACCGGCTTGGGCTTCAGGTACGGTGGCAGCTGTGCACGAACCTGACAACACGAAAAGATACGCAAAGCCTAGGGTTGGTCAAACACCGTGCGGGCTGGTATGCGTTGATGGTAGCCCGTACCTGGTCTCCGTTCTTTTCTTGGCCCCAGCCCCCGAAGGTCACGAACTCCTGGCAGTGAGAGCATGTGGCACTTGCAAAGGCTCTTGACTTCGCCTCGCCTCAGCGATGGTTGGATGGATGGCGACGGAGGCCTTCAGAGGTCCCAAAGGGAGACAGCACCGCGCTGTCTGCGGTCTGCAGCTGTGGAGCTTCAAAGTCCGCACGCGTGGCCCCCATGCGCACGGCCACAGCGAATCCCTGCATCATCTCGTCCTCGGGTTACAAGGGAGGGCTTGAGCCAAAAAATCCTAGGAACTCGTTTGTAATTGGCACACTTGCAAGTCGCAACGATCTACTTTGTCAGGCGGCCAGCTGCTAGCTGCCTTCCCTGCATGCGCTCGGTACATTGAGTTGTGGCATGTTGTGGCACAGCAGCAGCAGCAGCAGCAACTGCAACAACAACGACGACGACAAGGAGTGTGTGAAAAGCATGAAAGCTTCTGAAAGCATCGGACACCGAGTGCGCTCCAAGCATCGGAGTAAGGGCCAATGCAGTGCAGACCCACCACGCGTTCCTAAGCCAAGCCAAGCCCTGGCCAGTCCGCATCGCATGCTTTCCTAAAACGCCGGGCTTCTTCCGGCATCTTCAAGACGAGCTTGAGACCGGTCTTGACCTGTGGCAGCACTTGCACAGGACAGGAATTGCAGGCTGTGTTTGTTTAGTGCACCTTCTTGCCGTCGTCGTTGAATGCATACCTTCGTCATGGCGAGGTTTCCGGGAGGCCGACATGTCATGCATCTCTGCTCTGCTCACCGAGTCACAGCATGCTCGCAAAGCTGGACTGCTTGACCTTCACGTTGGCCTTCTGGTGGCCCCAAGAATTTTACGAACGGCCGTACTCTCTGCTGACACGTCAGCTTGAAGGCTTATAGCCACCTCGCCAAATTCGGCTTTCGCCTGCGGCTCTGTCAGCCCGATGCAGCCGATGGGAGGGTGGCTGAAGACGACCTCTGCACCCCGGGCTTCTCTATGGCCTCTTCAACATTTCGACGTTGCGTCAAACCCAACGGACTCCAAGCGGCCGTGGCGATCTGCTCATAGGCTATCCGTGCCCGACCTGGAAAGCAGAGCAAACTTGAAGTATTCTCCAGCTCCGCGACAAGGAAGTGTGGTAACACAACGAACTTGAACACTAACAACAGACCTCCGAATATCTCCTAATCCGACCTTCTCCCAGGAAGAGGCGATCTGCCAAGCGCCGGCCCGCGGCAATGGCCACCGGCGTCAGCTCGAAGCCGGTGCTCGTAGCCTCGGAGCGCTAGGAAACGTGGACTCTTCTACCGAGGGAGAGTCTAAACCGAGGGACATCTCCAATGGCGTAGATTCCTTGCAGATCTTTTCATGTGCCGACTCGTATCGATCAGGGCCCGTCCTGGTACATTCGTATTCTCGAAAGCATCCACCACGATATGACCTGGAGACTTCAGATTCGATCTATGCCCACAAAGTCTGCACTCAGTCGGCCTGACTTATTTGTCAGCACGCCGCACTTCTGCAAGCCCAGTTGATCCTTGACAGGGGCGTGGGGCAAGTCGCGAAATGTTTCGGAATCAGCAAGGAAAAGGAAAGTACCCCTGCAGCTTTCCAGACGCATTGCCAATTCTGCGTGGCGGCTGTCACAGGCTTTCGCCCAATGGCGAGAAGTATACAATCCTAGGCAAGCACATTTGGAACTCGAATGGGCATGCGATCGAAAAACCTGTAGGAATGTCAAGGTCCGAGAGTCAAAGTCAGTGTAAACCTTCTGCTCAGCATTCGAGCCCTCGGTTGCAGTGTAGGTAAGCAAGCCGTTGCTTTGCTTGGTGATGCGAGAAGGCTGGCTGTTTCCTCGGCCCACTGCAACTACGGGTGCGACTCTGCCAAGACATGAAAGAAAAAGCACTCGGCACCAGATGGGCTAATTTAAGACAGTCTAAGCGACGGTGCAACACGGGGCCGTGATGCTCCAAGGCCTGGCAGCATGCACCGCCGAATCTTGTTTATGCCTTCCTAAGGCCTGCGAACCTCCATCAATATCTTCACAATGAAGGGATCGAAGCCACGACGTAACACTGTGTCACCACCTCAGGATTCGAGCATGGGGAGCGGCAATCAACGTTACTACATAACTAGACACCAACATGGGCGAGTACTTTCTCAGCAGTCCTCTTAAGCCCGTCATCCATGCATTAGTGAATCATTAGTGAATCATTAGTGATTACAAGGATTCTGCTGCACCGTCTGCACTATTCTGCATTCCACACGACATTTGGACGACGCGCAGACACAATGCTTCCTAGTCTCGTGAAACCGTGCGCCGAGAGTCTGCTGGCTGCTGCAACAGGCGCACCAGAATCTTGCGAACCCAACCTCCCGTGCTCCCAACAGCGAGAATCCTCCTCCCCGAGCGAGGTCATGGCCAGGCTGCAAGACTCACCCAGACCACCTTCCTGCCCATCGCGGACTGCGGCATCAAGCATGCAGGAACTGAAAAGCCACCGGCCACACCCAGAAGAACGGTGGGTCACGCGTTGCACCAAAGACTGCAGACATCTTGAGACCACCACGTGCCTACAGCATATCCGGGGCACCAAGCTACACCTTTGCGAGAGCGAAAGGCTTTCTACTTGTACATGCTTTCCTTCCCAGATCCGTTAACGGCCCAATGCGCCCTTAAAACCTTGCAGCCAAAATGGCTTCTACAAGTAGTTAAGGAAAACTGCGACGGTGACAGACAAGCTGGAGCATGCAAGCATGGCCAGGCCGGCGCAGCGATTCGACGTTGAACGAATTCTGAACGCGCACGTGCCTCAAGGCTACGAGCAGTATAGTGCGGCCTCCCCTGCCCCACAGCAAGCATCCTCCTCCCAGAGAGGTCATGGCCAGGATGCAAGACTTACCATGCATGGTGCCCGAAGCACCTTCCTGGCTGGCTTGCTCCCCAGCAGGCGCGTTAGCCCATCGCCCTGCTGTCATTCACCAGCACTCACCCGTGGTGTGTTGGCCCCAAGGAGCAATGGGAATACCCGTGCAAGCTGCGCCCCACACCTGGCCAGTGGTGTGGAAGGAGTGCGTGTATGGGGTGATGCTCTCTCCTTCTGGGTAGGGCGGACCACGGTTGTCAACATGGTTTTACGGCACGTAGGACAATGCATCCTGGCAAAAGCATCAGCTGAAGCGATGCACATACACGGAATATATCGAGCGGATATCTGACCGCCCGACTTCCGGCTTGAATATGTCGTGTCGAATCCTATCGAAATGCAGCTGGCTACCTACTCGCAGCAACTCCTCATGTTCTCCTTTGCCAGGGCACGAAAGTACAGGTGCGTCTCTGATCCTAATGCATGGAGTATTCCAGCCATCTCCACTGCGATGTAGCCGGCGCCAATGACTGCAACCTCCGGGTGGAAACACACAACTGCCCTTCAGTATTGTGAATTGAGAACGGACCAGATAGGGTCCTGCACGCAATTTTGCCATAGATCACTGGTAAACGACAACTCCCGCAAGCTCCACATCTCACGGCGTGGGGAACAGGACCAGCTGCTCAATCTGAAAACCAGCTCGTTAGCGATATCCCAGAACAACCGCACAAGATGTTCTCCTTTTGGTGGACTCGTGCCTTCTTGGGCTGCTTCTTGAGCTCGAAGAAGCCGTCACTGTTAATCCTGTCTCTTATGTTTTTAAAACTTTCATGCTGGGTGCACAAGCTTGCGGCCAAGACTCGCATGCTCGATGCCTGGAATAGGCGGAGCATCTGGGATGCCGCCGCACGCTATGAGGATTTTCTTTCCGCAAAGCGTGGTCTTGCTGCCGTCTTTCCGCTGCCTTTGTTTGCCGCAAAAACTCCGGACTGCTTGAGAACTCCATCATTTGCAGAGTTACCGCCGAGTTACACCTCCACGGTGCTCGAATCAACGAACTGAGCTGTACCTGCGCACGAGATGCCCTTGCAATGCTCTGCATCTATCACCTCGAGCTTCGCCGACCCCGGCGCCAGTGAAGGGCTTTCCATGGCTTCCCCTCCGACCCCGTCATTTTGGTGCACCCTATCTCTCGCCCTCAAATGCGCAGAGTTGCGTTTGTTCTTGCCCGTTCCATGTCATTTGAGCGCATGATTTTTGCGCTCCAAGCCACCCCGCCCTCCTCCCTACACGTTTTCTTCTATGTCCCACACTGTACCCCTTGCCCTATCCCTGCCACACCTGTCCCTCCTGCACCCTGAGCCACCGTGGGTTTCCTCACCACCCTGGGCTCCCAACGTTCCTCCCATCCCTGCTTACTGTTTGACGAGCATGAGATTCTAGGGTGTAGTGGCTTTTCCTGGGTCGGTGGCAGTGGCGGCAGCTAGTGGCGATGCTGCAAATCTGAGGGCTTGGCCTTCGACAATCTCGACACCTATCGTGAGAAGCATTCCAGGTGTGGAATTGCTAGACTGTCACTCCCCGGCCTTCCTTCTGCCAGCCTGCCGTGTAGTTCTTGTTCAGCTTCTTCACATATTCGTCACGACGCTGTTGAAGCGCCTCCCACTGAACCTTCCCAGCGCCCTCCGGCACCGTGAAGCCGTAGCCCTTCCCAAGAGCAGGCTCGAGGGACACCGCAGCGCTGCGTCGCGCTGCATCGCTCCTGCCTTGGCAGTGGCAAGCTCCCCCACCATCATCTCACGGTGAGCAGCCGCCATGAACATCAGCTTCTTCCTCGTCTCATCACCACTCGACAGACGTCGTCAGACAGATTCTCAAATAAGACGGGTCGCGGGACACATCCCACATTCACGCAGGTCCCTCCCGGGCCAGCGCCGGTTCGCTGGCCTCCGCAACAAGCCATGGGCCGGTCGGCAGGAAAGCTGTCGAAGTTCGTTATGCACATGAGGCGTGATTAAGCTCTGCCCGCATTTCCGAATTTCGCTCGCGGATGTGGGCTCAGCCTTGCTCGTTCCAGGACGGCCCGCGCTCGACAAGAACGACCTTCGCACCATAGCCTCGGACTCACGCGGGAGGGAAGTTCACGGCCAGAACGGTAAGTGACGAGGAGAAGAAGAAAACTAGAGCCGCAACGTGGTCATCCTCTGTATATAGTGTGTTGCGATTTAACAACTTCACAGAATCAGAGGCTGCCTGCGGCACGCTTGGAGAAGGCACTTCCGCCACTGCCGCCGCCGATCACAATGACATCACACGATGCTGTCATCGATGTTGCTCTGTAAACATCGAGCCAGACCAAGGAGATGGACGTAGTGCTCTAGCATTCCTCCTTGTATATTGCCATAGTATCAGCGTATTGTGCATAATTTCTGAAGCTCTTGTTCGGGGTGCTATAGCACCGTCCATCGCTCTTCACGTGTTGTGTAATCGCTGAGAGCTGAAGCAACAGCCGTCCAAGGACAAGGGACACAGTCTGTCCAAGCGATGACAGTTCTTGAACTGTTGTTGAACTACCGGCAGCTATTCCCTGCCTGGTCCACGCGCGTGGCCAAGGGGGCGTTCAGGCTGAAACCGCCCACGCTGGAGCTGCCACCCCTGGTGAATCCGATGCGGCTTAGTCATCCTACGAGGTTGCAACGTCTTGAGTGGCGGGGCCAGGGGAAAGAAAGCTAGCTTAGGCTACAGGCACGGAAAGCGAAACAGAGCTGGCGAGGAGATAGAAACGAAAGCCTCGCTATGCCAGCTTGCGTGAAATCACAGTAAGGCCCGCTCGAGAATTTGGCCATGACCCGTATGATGGCTGTCACCTCACAGAAATTAGGAGTCAAAAGACCAACTTATTGGTTCACGGTTTGAGTAGCCAGTGCCTCCAACTTCGCACCATCTCCAACTTTGACTTCCTGCATCCCAAAGAAGACTTCTGGCACTCGGACCAAGGCTCTCGGAACTCCTGGTACATGTCCATCGGCACAGACCTCACAGACAAACACCGCGTCTCTCTCTCTCTCTCTCTCCGGGTTTTTGTTCGGAGTCTTTGTCTTCAGCATAAGCTCCTTGCCTCTCCAAGGTAAGAGGCTCCGTCCTGTGGAAGGATCATGAGAAATCTATCGCGCTTCGGAGAGCTTCTTCAACTCTTTGGCGCAGATCGGCGCATGCTCCTGGGGCCCATCGCTTGCTTCACGATTCCGACAACGTCCTCGAAGCCAAGAGAGCTTCACAAAGGAAAGCTCAGAAGTCACGGCTTCTCGGTCCGGCTTGAACTCCACTGTCATCCGACCCTGCGTTTCAACCAATCGCAGAAGTCGTCCGAGGCAGGTCCTCTCAAAATACCCAAAGCAACGAACACACTGTAGCACCGCCACCATCTGAGCTTCGAGGTGTCCCGAAAGGCGCACGGATCTCGCAGCCGCCCTCTTGACCCCAGAGGACGTAGGTCGCCTGTGGAGATGAAACCGAGAACGCTGCTCAGGGTGACCTCGTTTTTCGGTCGGCCTGCATAATCTCCTCGGTTTGCGCCACCTCTGACCAGAACAAAGAAATCAAAAGAGACGCAAGACACCTACATTTCGCCTGCTGGCTCAGTTTTTCGATGGCAGCAGCTGCCGGCAGCGGCAGGCTTACCTTTGCGGTTCTGAAGAGCAGAGACCCGGCATGGCCATGCATGGCCCGGCCCTCCGAGTCCCTGAGGATCTCTGAGGCGCTCGGCTCCTTTCTCGACCAGCTCTTTGGCAAGTCCGGGGTTCTCGGGATTCACCTCACGGGCCCATGCCGAGGCCTTCCCTTCCCTTGGCTTCTCTAACCACTTCTGGGTGCGCGACTCGAATGAGGCGACCCCCGGGGAATCTGTCGGCTTGGCTTCAATTCACTTGAACTGAAAATCGCTTAGGCCGAAACGCTTCGTGACTTATTGATTCCCCCATGCCGCCAGCCTCTGCACGACCTTCTCAAGCTCTCGTCTCACGGTTGGAACTGTGAGTCCACAGCCAACCTTAGCATGTGCGTTGCTTTTGACTTTGGCCAATTTGCAGCACTGTAAGAACTGCTGACTGTATACCGCCTTGGTTGCCTTCATTGCGCATGCGTTGCCGACTTCATCTTGGCATCGGGCTTCCAGGCAAACAACGCTGAGGCCTCCACAAGGCACATGAGCGCTTCTGCGATTCACTCGCAACAGAAGGCTGTTGTGCCAAGTTGCTACTAACATCCGGCCGCGATGCCAAGCTATTGACCCACGCATCGTACCTGTCCGAGGCACGAACCCTCGACAGAGGAAAACTAACGGCATGCTACGAGTTGTGACTGGATTCATCCCTCGCCTGGTGTTCTGTGCCCCTCGTCGTGCCCGTGAGAATCCCTGGCAAATCTGACACGTCAAAGTTTCGACTCCAACAAAATCAAGAAACACTGTTCAACTTTGCGTGAATCCGTCTGATTGTGAAGCCTTCAGGACATCAGCCCCAACCCTCGGGCTCTCCACCAAGTGCAAGCGTGCCATAACCTGCAGAATCCCCACCAAACATCTGCACGTTGGGTCTGGCGACTGCCTGGGCGGAAGCCAAGCACTGCCGTGACGCTAACTCTCCCCATTTTCCGGCCTTGCACTTCGGGCAGCTTGGCAACACCTGGGCCAATCGGCGAGGAAAGCTGGGGGGCATGAGGAGGCTGGCCAAGCACGCGTTTGAGCTACTTGCTGAATCTTGCCTCTCTCTCATTCTGCATGAGGAATGCCGGCTAACTGAACATACTCTGGGGGGTTTAAGCTACCATTAACTGTGGATTCATCAGACCGAAAAGCCCCATCTGCCGATCCATTGGTAAAATGGATATGATAAAACCGCAACTCTCACAAGCTGACGAAGAGCTAGTTGCTAGCTCGTGACGAGCTTTTCGTGTGGTCAGCTTTTCGAGATTGCTTCACAACCTGACGTTAATTGACCCTCAGAACCATCACGGAAATCTTGAAAGCAAGACTCACCATGAGCCTGTACGGACGAAGACAAGTTCCTAGCTAACGACGAGTTATCCAAAACCTGCTGAAGGTGCAGCGCCTCTTCTTGGTCGACGGGCGAACGGCACTGCGCCCGGCCGGCCCCTGAACATGGTGCCGGTGCCGGGGCGCACTTCTGCGCCCGCCCGCCCAGGGGGGCGAGTGCCGGTCGGTATATAAAGTGGCATGAGAGTGAAAGATATTAAGGAAGTCGAAAAGGCGATCGACGCAGCCCGGTCGATCGCGGAGCTGGTCCCTACACGCATAAATGCGCTACACAAAGCTATCGATGAGTTAGCCAAAACTTGATGGTGCAGTACCCCTTGTTGGTCGAAGCGCGAACTGCTCCCGGTGCCGGGTGCGCCATTCTGTCCCCGGCTCGCGCATCCCCACAAGGCGCCTGCACCCTACCAAACAAAGCCTCTCATGCGCTGGGTGACAACCGAAGTCGTGGCGGCCTCGCAGAGCACCATCATGATCTCGTGGAGGGGGCGTGGACCGTCGTCCAACCCTCAGCCCTGGTGTGAAAGTCGTCGGTTTTGGAAATGGCGTCCGAGACCTTGGCCTCAGGCGGCGCGCGCTGATGCCCTGTGTGCCGCGAAGCCCCGAAACGAATGAATGAAGGCGATCCACCGCCGCGCGAAGGTCACCAACAAGAGGACCTGCGCGAGGGTCTCCAAGACATATATGAAGGTCTTCCCAGCCGCAAACGGCTCCAGCAGCTCGGGCCTAGTTGTGCCGTCCGGGCGCACTTGATGGAGACACACTCACGCCTCCAACTCGCCCGCCGAGTCGATGTCGGCTGCCGGCGGCCCCCACAGCGCAAAATCCTCCGGCGAGAAGGTTCGAAGGGCGGAGGCAAGCTCAGAGTCGGCGGCCGTCTCGGTTTGCCCGGCTTCTGAAAAGTTACTGGCCAGCCGGGAGCGCCCCAGACGGGACCGGTGAATGGCCGGCGTAGGCGAAGCGGGGACCTCCACGGTCTCACCAGTGCCAGGAGAGGTGTCCGCCCCATGGCACGATGCCGTCAGCGCCGAAGTCAAAATGGTGCTGGCATCGACCCCGCCATACTCAGCGAGCTCCGCAGCGAAAGCAGCCCAGGAGTCGAATGCCATGACGACGGCGAAAAGGGGTGAAAGGCGAGAGGCCAAATCGAAAAGGCGATCGAGCGGAGACGCTGCCCCCGGTCGACCGCGGATGCATAAATGCATCACACAACAACAAAGGCCTAACCACAGCTGGCAGGTATGGCGAATAACCGAAAAGGACACTGCTTTTCGAAACGAGACTTCTGCACATGGACTGGCAAGACGTGACGTCAAAAGCCTCGAGAATGCCAACACCCAGTACAAGACAAAAAAAATACACCAGCGAAGACCCCAACCAGATTGCATCGAATCACGCCGGTTCAAGTTAGGCAATATTTTTGCGCAGAAGAAGAATGGGTTGTGACAAAAAAATAACTCGTGGGTGAAAAACACCACCATGCTCGCAAGCAGCATCTGAGCGAGCTATGTTTTTCATTCGAGTTCAATCACTAGGACGCAACACCCCCTTCCGCCAAGTCTTCCAAGGCACTGCATGTTGTCCCTCCCCAGCACCCTTCACGTTTTGCAAGCGACCCCTTCCGTAAAGAGCAAAAACACCTCTTTCGCAGTAAGCGACGGCAAACGCATCCAGTGCTTCTGTGCCCTTCCATGGAGCAGCCGCCTTCCGCAGCCCTTCCGCGTGGCTCCACACACATGTTCCAAGAGAGATTTCCGGATCGAATCAAAATTTTGTGTCTATCTAAAGACTTTCGTCAAGAGACGGAACAAAGCAGACGCTGATCATCTGTGTTAAACATTGCGGACTGGCCTGCTCTCTTTGCATCTCGAACAGTTTTGGAAATTGCAATGTAGATTCAGTGGCGAAGCCAAGCTTCCTTACAAGTAGCTTGGATTGACTGGAAGATTTCAAGGCCAGCGCTCCCTGCACTCGATGGGTATGGGGATCCTCTGCCAGGCAGAGGTCAGCCGGCGCCTGTAAAAAGCCAAGACCCCTCTGTCGGCGTTCGCAGTTCGCATCGCATTCGCTCCGAGTGCCTTCCACACGTCCGGGCAGCAAGGCTTGGAGCACTGGAGCCATTTCACGGCACCGTGGACCTCGGAGCACACCGACGAAGCCCGCTCTGGTCGGGTCCTCAACATGCCCAACCTCGAGGACGCGGTCCGCCGAGGTCCCCGAAGAAATCCTCTCAAAGGAGGGACGCAGGGCAGACCGCTTTCAGAGTCGCAAGCGGAAGCGACTTGGGGGCAGCCGGTCCAGTGACTGTCGATGTTGGAGGTGAAGGAGAAGAAACCGAAAGGACATCTCTGACCTGCAAACTATCCGTGCACTTAGCCCCAGCCAACAGTAAGCAGTCACAAGCAGTCTTCACTGTCTTTGTGCTCAGTGAAGTGAAAATGCTACAGATTGCGGCAGCCCCCTGCAATACCCCAATCGCCAGCACAAAGACTGCAGCAGCTGCAGTGCTTCGAGAGAAGCCCACACTAATCTTCACTGCATCTTGAGTTCTTTCCGTGATGTGCACTTTTTTGAGCGCTTTGATTTGGTCGCGCGACCTTGAGAGAGCTGTAGACTCCAGCACTCATGTGCGGCTGCACACCGCCAACGATCTTCTTCGGCACAAGGCACCGGCCATGACCAAATCTATAAAACTTCCTGTTGGAGTGGCCTGCGGCACCCGAAAGCGGATTCCGTTTTGGTATCCACCAGGGACTGCCTGTGGGCGTCACTCAAAACATTAGCTGGTTAGCTGGCTATAGCATGTGAGACATCTGAGACATCCGAGGATCGCAACCACTTTCCGGACTGTCTGGATGTGTCTCGCTTGGGCAGGGGATCGAGTTGCTGACACACATGATTTTGTCAGTGGAAATGGGCCACCCTCAACTCTGTGAGAATCTTGTGAATCCGGAAGCAGCAGCTGCAATGTCTGAAAAGTCTCTGTCACCCTCTCTGCGGCTGAAGCCAGTCGTGCGGGATGACAAGCCAAAGGAAAATGCAAGATGGGCGGTGTCGTTATGAAAAACGTAGGAAAAGCTGGCGCTGGCTTAGACAGCTAGCAGCCATGCCTCTATGGTCGATTGTCAGCCGACCCGGGATCCAACAGCCTCTTGTCAGAGTCTTATTGTTGCGAGCACGGCTCTTGGCCTCTCGCACTAGACTTATTCCTGGTCGTGCCGTGGCGGCAAATCGTTCACGGGTGGCCGTGAAAAGCTCCACATCTGCATGGGTTGACGACCACTGGGATGGCCCAAGAAGCGCCACCTGAACGAAGTTGTTTCGAAGCTTGAGGCAAAAATTGGTGGGGCGATGCGGGCCAGGAGGGGCGCCTGCCGTGCGTCAATCTGCACATGGAGACCCAGTCCTTGAGCAGAGCATGCAGACCGTCATATCGAAACATCAAACCAAGCTTTTGCCTTAACTCTCATCCAGGTGAGGATCGTAAGAGTCGGCATTGTTTTTGTTGGGCAGTAACATCGGTCCAGCCCACATTCCTGCGGGCTAGGAAGGTCTCGAAGGCTCTGCTGCAAACGACGCTGGCACGCTGCCTGATGGGACGTCCAGCTCATACATCTCGTCCATGCTTGTTAAAAGCAGAGCCTGAAAAAGACATGGCGGTCTATGACCAGTTGGGGACGTTTCGAACAACACCGTGGGGCAATAAATGACCTTGATTTGACACTGGCTGCAAGGCTGGTAGTTCAGCGCAGAATGGGCACTAGAAACGAGACACTGTATGTATCGTAGTGGTCTTGTCAGCAGCTGGTGATGCAGTCGCACTGTAATGACACCGTAGTTCATTACTTGGCCGTCGTTACAGCAGATAATGGGGCCCTGCGGCTGGGTGTACATGGCTATGTCGAATTATATCTTCTGTGTACCTCACACTTGACCCAAACTCAACTTATGAATGAAGCACGATGCTCATGTTCGCGCGGCTATCATTGCCGCATGAGTGAGTGAATAAGTGAGTGAGTGGGATGGGATGGGATGGGCTGGGCTGGGCTGGGCTGGGCTTGGTTGGGTTGGGTTGGGTTGGGTGGGGTCTTGGGTGCTTCGGTGCTTGCGTGCTTGAGTGGCTGAGTGGTTGAGTGGCGGAGTGGCCGAGTGGCTGGCTGAGTGTCTGAGTGAATGACTGAGTGACTGAGTGACTGAGTGATTGAGCGGCTGAGTGAGTGAGAGTGAGTGAGAGTGAGTGAGAGAGAGTGAGAGAGAGTAAGAGTGAGAGTGAGAGTGAGAGTGAGGGTGAG